AAAATTATAATGTCTTATGCTTAAAAAAAAATGGAGAGAGCTTGGTGGGACAAGAATGTCACAACATAAGTACAACAACCAACGTCACGGAACAATTTATATATGAATTGTCGCATGGGAAACCAATCAGGAAAAACACAATGAAATGTGGAGGAGAGGGATAAGTAGAAGTGGTGGAGGAGGTTGAGAAAGAAAACATCAGCAAAATCAGTGACTACTGTTTATGTGATTTAAATTTAATTGATGAAAATAAATACTTCAAATACAAGTAAGTTATTTGGGGAAGGGCTGGCCAGGGAGAAAAGTACAATGAATTAATGGAAATCCAAAATCTCTGTAAATGTTCATTAAAATTAGTAAAATATTTTTTAAAAAAGTAAGTTATTTATATTCACAAATAATGATGAGTGTTATTGTGCAGGGTTTCTTAAATAATTTTAATATGGTTTAGGAAAAATGTAATTTTTTTTAAGTTGCATAAAAAATATATACACACATATATTTTATTAATTTTTTTTTTCGTAATATCAAGGAAGCCCAGGAAGGTGGGAGGGAAGCACCAGGCCCCTCACTGTCCAGTCTCTCCAGGGGGTGCACTACACCGCACCTGTCCTGCCATCTCCGAGCCGCCAGGGGGCGAAATCAGAAGAATGAGTCCTTTTAAGGTGCTCAGTCTACGCTGTCCAGAGGCCTACTGTGCGACCCGGAAGTCATATTGATAGAGAAGAATCCTTCCGGGTCTGAGCGAGGTGACCCCGGCTGCCGCGGGAACTGCGGCGACAGCAACCATGGGGGCGCATCTGGTCCGGCGATACCTGGGCGACAGCTCGGTGGAGCCCGACCCCTTGCGGATGCCCACCTTCGATCCCAAATTCGGCTTCCCCGAGCGCAAGGAGCGCGGTGAGGCTCAGTGCGCAGGCGCGGTCGGCGGCCTTGGGGAGGGCGCCCTGGGACCCTTACAACTCCCCGAGTATCCTGGGGTCCCCGGGGCCGAACGCGACCCTCTCGTGCACATCTCTAGGCACGGCCTTGACCTCGATCTCGAGGAGCTCCTAGGCAATATTGTCCCTGCTTGAGCGGGGAATGCGAGACAGGGGGCACAGCTTTCATAAAAGCCTAGGGATGAAAGAGGGGTGACTTGGGGGGGAGTGTAAGACATGGGGTGATCCCAGAAGGGACATGTTCTTTGTGCCACGGTTGCTTTTAGGTCTACATAAGGGAGAACCCAAATGCACGTCTGTTCTGCACTTTGATTTTTTTTCCATGTCAACCACCTACAGCAGTCCAAGCCCCAAATTTGGTGGGCATCGCTGTCACAGTAGGGCTGTCTTCAGGGAAGATGCAGCCTAGTGGAGAGGATTGGGGAAGTTTAGGGGGAGAAGTCTGGAGAGTATCAAGGAAGGCTTCTAGGAGACTGTGCCTCGGAGTCTAAGAAGTGGAGAGAGTAGAACTGGTGTTTCTAAGCAGGGGAGGGACACGGTCAGATTTGCTTTGCCGAAAGGTCACCCAGACGGCTGAGTGGATAGTGGCAAGCAGACCTGTAAGTGTTGGGTGTGCAGTGGGTTTGAGAAAACCTTGGGACAAAGTATAATCAATCACTCCTGTGGAATCCTAGCTCCCAGGGCCCATCATACCCCACTTGACCCACAACTCGCTTTGCAAACACCCACAATCCCTGCTGCTATCTGGCCTGGCTAAACCATAATCCAGGGTTAGCCCTGCTCTCCTCGATTCTTGACCCCTACCCCAGTGCACCTGAAAGTGGGGGAGAAAATACCCAGCCTTGATGATTACCGTGAACTGTCTGCCCCTCCTGTTTTCTGATTAGATCTTCACTCTGTCAATCCCTCATCCATTGTAGAAGGCTTGTTCCCCTTCTCAGGTTCCAGCGTTTTCTTCCACCCTCTCATCCTTTCACTTTGCATCTTTTTTTCTCTTCAACTGTTTTAATACATTTTTAATTTTTTGTGTGTGTGTACAGTAATTTGTTTACATTGTGTTTCGTTCATATACATTGTATTTTTTTATGGTTTATTGGCCTGCTCCCTCCACCCACCAAACTCTGATTTACCCCCCTCTCCACCCCTCTTTCTCCCCTACTACCTCCCCTTCCCTTTTTGGATATTCATACACATCCTACTGGTGGTGGTTGGTGTTGTGTTGTTGTTAGATGCCTGTCAAGTCAAATATGACTCCTAGTAACCCTATGAACAACAGATCTGAACCCTGTCCCATCCTGTGCCATCCTCACACTTCCTGATACACCAGAATCTATTGAGAGAGAGACTGTAAAAGACCATTATTATAAAAGCAGAAATATAACCTGGAAAGTCTTACTGCTTATCCTTCTGTTTTTATAATAATACCACATTCAAGCAAGATCCTGCTGAAAATTTCCCCAAAACGACTGGAACAGCACATCAGAGAACTGCCCAATATGCAGGCTGGGTTTAGAAGAGGCTGTGGCACTAGAGATATTTTAGCTAATGTTTGATGGATTTGGGCTGAAAGCAGGGAATACCAGAGAAATGGCTCTCTGTGTTTCATTGACTATGAAAAGACATTTGGACTGTGTAGATCACAACAAACTGTGGTTGACTCTGAGAAGAATGGGATTCCCAAAACACCAGATTGTGTTTATGCAAAACCTGTACTCCTGGACCAGGAGGCAGTCGTCAGAACAGAGCAAGAAAACACTGCATGGTTCAAAATCAGGGAAGGTGTATGCCAGGAATGCATCCTATCCATTTTGAATCTGTATGCAGAACAGATCATCCAGGAGGCTGGGCTTTAAGAGGAGGAATGTGACATCAGGATTGGAGAAAGACTCAACAACAACCTACTTTATGCAGATGACACAACCTTGCTTGCTGAAACTGAGGAGGACTTGAGGCATATTGGCTGCAGAAGGTCAAGAACTGCAGCCTTAAAAAAAAAAAAAAGAACTGCAGCCTTCCATATGGATTGAAGCTCAGCATGAAGAAAATAAGGATTTTTACCCTCGGTCAATTAGCAGCATCATGACAGATGGTGAAGAGATTGAGATTGTTAACAGCTTCAGTTTGCTTGGCTTCATAATCACCCCTCTTGATCCAGCAGCCAGGAAATCAGAAGACAAATTGCACTGGGAAAATCTGCTGTCAGGGACCTCTCCAGAGTACTGAAGAGCAATGATGTCAGTCTGAAGACTAAGGTACACCTGATCCACACCATGATCTTCCCAGTTTCTTACTATGCACCAGAGAGCTGGACAGTGACTAGGGATGATTGACGGAGAATTGATGCCTTTGAGCTGTGGTGCTGGGGAAAAGTACTGAATATACCATCGACTGCCAAGAAAACAAACAGGTTCATCCTAGAGAGGGTGAAACCAGGTTACTTCTTAGAGGCAAGGATTCTAAAGTTCCGTCTGACACACTTTGGGCATGTTGCAAGGAGGGACATCATGCTTGGAAGGGTAGAGGGGCAACACAAGAGAGAAACACGCTGGATGAGATGGATTAAGTCAGTGACTGGGGTACTGGCGGTAAGTGTGTCAGAGACAATGAGGTTGGCTCAAGATAGGGCAGGGTTCATAATTGTTGTATATCGGGGTCACTATGAGTCGCAAATGACTCAACAGCACATAACAACATACAGTGTGCATTCTTTTTTTTTTTTGTGGTGAGAAAAATTTAGATTTAAAATTAGCCAACTGGCCTGTTCAGATGATCCCAGTTTTGTTGTCAGCATCCAAAGCATCATAGTCAGAAGCAACGCAGGCCTCTTCCCTTCTCTCCATCAAGCCGAACCTAAGCGTTGATGTTGGCTATGTCATTGTCATAAAGCTGCTTTACAGCTTGTTTGATCTGGTGCTTATTGGCCTTGACATCCACATGAACACAAGTGTGTTGTTAACCTGCTGTCTTCCTCCTAGCAAACTCTGGTCAGGAAGAACTTGATGGCATAGTGGTCAAGCTTGTTTATCCTGGGGGCGCTCTTCTGGGGTTATCTGGGCTGCCTTCAGGGTCTCAGCATCTTAGACCACCGGAAGGTGGGTGACGTGGAGATGTGTGTATATGTGTGTGGCTGTGGACGCCCTTCAGAACTGCCTTCTTGACCTTTAATGTCCCTTGCTTTGGCTTCAGCTTTGGGAGGGGCAGGGGCTCCCTTCTTCACGTTCGGCACCATCTTCTTAGAAAGGACAGTATTTGTTCTGATGCACCTGAGTTAGTCCATTCAACATAATGCTGTCTAAGCCCTCTCATACTGTATTTTTCAAAATTGTGGCTCCCGAGTACTGCTTAGCATTTCATGGTGTCTCACAGTGTCTCAATCTGGTCATTTGTTAGAGGACATTTGGACAGTTTCCATGTTCTTGCTATTGTGAATAATGCTGCTGTGATCATCAGTGTACATTTACATCCTTTAAAAAAAATTAAATAGAGCAAGAAGAATTGTCACCCTTCCTACACCCACTCTTCATGCTCACCCTCAGATTCTGCCTTTGTGCATTACATTCGCAACCAGCAGCTCCATCCCCAACAACGGTCCCTGCTGAACTGAGCCCCTCCCTCCCCTTTGCGCCCTGGGTGCCCTAGTCGGCTGCTTGCTCCATCCTTTCTCTTAGCCACGCTCTGTCACTTCTGCCCGTCAGAGTATAAGTAGAACTGTCTCTGCCCTTTAGTGGTACTCTCCTAGCGTCACCTCCAGGGGCTGCCTCTTTCCCACTTCCCTTCCACAGCTGTACACAGGCAGCCTGGCCCATCTGTTAGGCATGCTCCTTTTTTCTGTATTTATATATTATCATATTGAGGTGTCCACCAGGCAGATGGGGGGGAGAAACCTGGGAGTATCAAGGAAGGCTTTGATTGCCCCCTTTCCCACCCTCCTCAGGCATGGTCTGCCTCCCCTCTCCTCTGGGAGCCCCGCCTCTCTGGCTGGGAACCCAAATCCCCTGTTCTCCACGCACCTCACCAGCAGTTCCTTCACTGGTTTACTTCCTGCCCTTGTAAATGGTGGGGTGTCTCGGGACACAGACCCCTCTCAGGACACGCCCACTCTCAGGAATCTGCCCCTTGACCTCACCTGCCTGCTGCTCTCAAGTTACATGTCCAGTGGGGTCTCTACCAGCTGGACCACTGCCCTCAACCCAGGCTGCTCCTCCCTCCATCTTCCTGGATGGTCACTGCTAGCCCCCTCCTTCCGGGTGCTCAGGCCAGAAGCCCTGAGGGTGCCCCATGGCCTGGCCTATCCTCCAGGCTGTTCTAGGAACACTTCCCTCAGCACCTTCTCACACAACCTTCACAGTGACCCCTCCTCCGAAAACAGGGGTTCATCAGTCAACCTTTGCGACGCTCCCCCAGATTTTCCTCCCCAGACTCACTATTATCAGAACTCGGCGCTCTGTCCTTGTCTCCCTTCCCCACAGTTTTGCCTGCTGTGTCCCTCCGTACCCCCAGACCAGCACCGTCTCAGTAGCAAGCATGTCTGTGTCCTGCCTGGCACCTGGCTCGTGGTACGTGAGCATTAAGCCAGTTGTGCCCACTCTCAGGCGCAGACAGAATGCCAGGTGCTGTGGCCGCAGGTAGATCCACAGGGGGAGAGGGGCGAGTGGAGGGATGGGGTCGGGGCTCTTCGCTCGGAACCAGCTCCTGGAAACAGCATGCAACATCTGGGCAGAAGAGCTAGGCGAGTGGGGTGCAGGGGAGCGGAGTTGAGAGAACATTCGGAGAAGTGGGGTCCTGGGGTTGTGGGTGGCCGTTGTGAATGGTGTGGCGGGTAGAGGGAGTGGGAGAGGAGGCCCATTTTCTAGACAGGTGGAAATGGGTGCGGAGCGAGGTGGTCGGGGAGGAGTCAGCAGGGAAGAACTGGGTAGTGTCTGTCTGCAGTGGCTGAGAGTGGAGTCCCAGGGTGACTACTGCCTAGAGTGGTCCTGGGTGGGTGGGGCCCCCGCCCTTTCATAGCGTTAACAGGAATGAATGAGGAGCTGACTGGTGGCCTGTTAGTGGCGAGGATGCCAAAGCTGAGAAATGGGTAATGGCACAGCCAAGGCTCGCAGTGTAGCGGGGCACACTGCCCTAGTTGTGGGGTAAGGATGGGCAGAGTGCAGCTTTGCAGAGACTGCCCCAGAGAGCACGATCTCTACAGGGCCCACTTAACCGGGCCCCTCGCCGCTGGCCGTGTAGAGTAGGAGAGCGATGAAAAGGAGGAGGGGTCCTGATAGGGAGAGTGGGGTGATGGAAGAGGAGGGGTGATGGGAGAGTGGGGCAATGAGGGGGAGAGAGTGGGCCCTGTGCTTTCCAGGTTGTCTCACTCTAAGAACCATTTCCTCCTGTCTGTCCTCTTTGGCCCTGATTCACTGCCATCTGCCACCAAACTGTCAAGAGGGCGACACCTCCCAGACTGAGCTCTTCGTCTGGGTGCATAGAGAGGGGGTGCTGGGCAGGGCACACACTGAGCCCACCTCTGTGTGCTCCTGCAGAGATGGTGGCCACGCAGCAGCAGATGAACGACGCCCAGCTGCCCCTGGCCCTGCGGGACTACTGCGCCCACTACCTCATTCAGCTGCTCAAGTGCAAGCGCAACAACTTCCCCAACTTCCTGGCCTGCAAGCACCAGAAACACGACTGGGAATACTGCGAGCACCTCGAGTGAGCCAGGGCCCTCCTCGCGCGCCCCCCTGCTCCCAGCACCCACCCCACTTCCACCGGTGCCTCAGCTCCCCAGGGCCAGACCCACCCTGCAGCAGGACACTGCTCCTGAGGACCGAGCACTGCAGGGACTGTAGCCAGCCCCAGATGGGACGGGAAGACAGAGGTGCCACTAGGAGGGCCCCACCTGGTGCCCCTCAGCCAGCCCTGCTTAGAAGGCTGCCTGGCCTGCAGTCAAGGCCACAGCTCGGCCTGCGAACCGCAGGGTCCTCCCCTGTTGTGCCATCAAGTCGGAATCACAGCTGAGCCTCCAGCGGTGTCACAAAGGCAGTAAATCGCATGGGAGTGAAGGGCCCATCCTTCTCCCTGCAGAGCAGCTGCTGGATTTGAACCGTGTACCTTTGGGATAGCAGAGCAGCTGCTTACCACTAGGCTCTCTGCCCACTCCTGTCCCATCCACTTCCGGGGCACAGGGGATAAGGCATGTTGGGTCAGGCCTGACCGCCTTCTCTGCCCCCAGCTACGTGAGGCGCATGAAGGAGTTTGAGCGGGAGCGGCGGCTGCTGCAGCGGAAGAAACGACGGGAAAAGAGGGAGGCGGACGCAGCCAGCGGCGAGGGGCCCGGTGAAGTGGGCCCTGAGGTGGCCCTGTGACCCCCCTGCGGACCACTCAAATAAAAACCTTCAGATCCTCAGTCCTAACCCTGCCTCCGACTGTACTGTGGGGAAGGTGATGGAAGTAGAGACCCCCAACTCTCTACTCCCAAAAAAGCACACAGAGCCTTAGTCCAGCTAACAGGCAGATTTTATTCCAGGTGCTGGAAAGCTGTGACCCCCCAATTCCCCAGGGTAACGGTGGGGTGGGGAGATGAGAGCCTGGCCCAGATGTAAGCAAACAGGCAGTGGGGCAGCAGCTCAGAGCAGGAAGGGGATGATGGGCGAGCGCAGGGACGGGTAGTCGCGGAACTCCTTCAGGTAGCTTCGGTGCTTGCCCTTGGCCCAGATGGTCATCTGAGTGAAGCCCACCAGGGAGAAGAGAGCCACTGGGAGACACTGTGTCATGATGGTGAAGCCGATCCAGGACCCGACCTGTAGAGGCAGGACAAGCAGGGTAGTGAGTGTGCACAGAGACAAGTGGTGGTGCCCCTGTGCTCCCCAGTGCACAAAGAACCCAGCTCTCCCATTCCCACGATGATGGTGCCACTGCTGGCGAAGGACCCCAAGCCCTCTGAGTGCAGGGAGACCCTCACCTCGTAGGTGTAGTTGGGACAGGACACCAGCATGAAGAGCCAGGTGAAGGGGTTCTTGGTGGGGAATGGGATCTTCCTGGTCTTGGACCCTGGCAGGAAGGACGGGAGGGGGAGTCAGCAGTTGAGCCCCCTCCTCCCAATCCCAACCTGCCCACAAAAAGCAGTACCCACCTGCAGGCCGCAGGTTCCTCAGGGCCATGTGGATGGAGAAGTTGCCAAGCTGGCAGATCACAAAGATGGCCAGGGCCAGCTTCACCTGCTGAGCTCCGTAGGTGGGGGGTGTGTAGAGGGGGTGGTTGATGTAATAGGCCATCCATGCAGCAAAGCCCCAGTAGTACGTGC